AGAGATGGATCCTCTCCTGCCAGAGCTTCCTCCTCCAAATCCTGAGCCACCTCCTGATGGAGAGCTGCTTCCAGAGATGGAGCCACCACTGCCAGAGCTGCTGCCACCACCAGAGCTCAGCCCCCCACCGTGGGGACTGCATCTGCCACTGCCAGAGCTGGAGCCCCAACCTCCAGAGCTGGAGCTGCCAAAACCTGAGCCTCCTCCTCCAAACCCTGAGCCACCTCCAGAGCTGCCACCTCCAGAGATGGAGCCTCTTCTGCCAGAGCTTCCTCCTCCTCCATAACTTGAGCTTCCTCCTCCTCCATAACTTGAGCTTCCTCCTGAGCTCCCTTCTCCTGCACAGATGGAGCCACCAGTTCCAGAGCTGGAACCCCCATGACCTGAGCTTGCTCCTCCTCCTCCAAATCCTGATGCCCCTCCAGAGCTTCCTCCTCCTGATCCAGAGATGGATCCTCTCCTGCCAGAGCTTCCTCCACCACCAGAGCTCAGCCCCCCACCATGGGGATTGCATCTGCCACTGCCAGAGCTGGAGCCCCAACCTCCAGAGCTTCCACCTCCTCCATATCCTGAGCCTTCTCCCCCTCCACCCCCAGAGATGGAGCCTCTTCTGCCAGAGCTTCCTGCTCCTCCATAACTTGAGCTTCCTCCAGAGCTTCCTTCACCTGCACAGATGGAGCCACCAGTTCCAGAGCTGGAAACTCCATGACCTGAGCTTCCTCCTCCTCCTCCAAATCCGGATCCCCCTCCAGAGCTTCCTCCTCCTCCATAAGTTGAGCTTCCTCCTGCAATACCTCCTGATCCAGAGCTACCTCCAGAGATGGAGCCACCACGGCCAGAGCTGGACCCCCAACCTCCTCCAGAGCTTCCACTGCCTTCATACCCTGAGCCTCCTGAACTTCCTCCTCCTCCAGAGATGGATCCTCTCCTGCCAGAGCTTCCCCCTCCTCCATATCCTGAGCCACCTCCTGAGATACCTCCTGATCCGGGGCTACCTCCGGAGATGGAGCCACCACTGCCAGAGCTGGATCCCCAACCTCCAGAGCTGGAACCTCCATGACCAGAGCTTCCTCCTCCAAATCCTGATCCCCCTCCAGAGCTTCCACCTCCCCCAAAACCCGAGCCACCTCCAGAGCTGCCACCACCGGAGATGGATCCTCTCCTGCCAGAGCTTCCTCCTCCAAATCCTGAGCCATCTCCTGATGGAGAGCTACTTCCAGAGATGGAGCCACCACTGCCAGAGCTTCCTCCACCACCAGAGCTCAGCCCCCCACCGTGGGGACTGCATCTGCCACTGCCAGAGCTGGAGCCCCAACCTCCAGAGCTGGAGCTGCCAAAACCTGAGCCTCCTCCCCCAAAACCTGAGCCACCTCCAGAGCTGCCACCACCGGAGATGGAGCCTCTTCTGCCAGAGCTTCCTCCTCCTCCATAACTTGAGCTTCCTCCTCCTCCATAACTTGAGCTTCCTCCTGAGCTCCCTTCTCCTGCACAGATGGAGCCACCAGTTCCAGAGCTGGAACCCCCATGACCTGAGCTTGCTCCTCCTCCTCCAAATCCTGATGCCCCTCCAGAGCTTCCTCCTCCTCCATAACTTGAGCTTCCTCCCGAGATTCCTCCTGATCCAGAGCTTCCGCCTGATCCAGAGATGGAGCCTCTCCTGCCAGAGCTTCCTCCTCCAAATCCTGAGCCACCTCCTGATGGAGAGCTGCTTCCAGAGATGGAGCCACCACTGCCAGAGCTTCCTCCACCACCAGAGCTCAGTCCCCCACCATGGGGACTGCATCTGCCACTGCCAGAGCTGGAGCCCCAACCTCCAGAGCTGGAACCTCCTCCATAGCCTGAGCCTCCTCCTCCAAACCCTGAACCACCCCCAGAACTGCCACCTCCAGAGATGGAGCCTCTTCTGCCAGAGCCTCCTCCTCCTCCATAACTTGAGCTTCCTCCTGAGATACCTCCTGATCCAGAGCTGCCTCCTGATTCAGAGATGGAGCCTCTCCTGCCTGAGCTTCCTCCCCCTCCATATCCTGAGCCACCTCCTGAGATACCTCCTGATCCGGGGCTACCTCCGGAGATGGAGCCACCACTGCCAGAGCTGGATCCCCAGCCTCCAGAGCTGGAACCTACATGACCAGAGCTTCCTCCTCCAAATCCTGATCCCCCTCCAGAGCTTCCACCTCCTCCATACCCTGAGCCTCCTCCAGACCTTCCTCCACCACCAGAGATGGATCCTCTCCTGCCAGAGCTTCCTCCTCCAAATCCTGAGCCACCTCCTGATGGAGAGCTGCTTCCAGAGATGGAGCCACCACTGCCAGAGCTGCTGCCACCACCAGAGCTCAGCCCCCCACCATGGGGACTGCATCTGCCACTGCCAGAGCTGGAGCCCCAAACTCCAGAGCTGGAGCTGCCAAAACCTGAGCCTCCTCCTCCAAACCCTGAGCCACCTCCAGAGCTGCCACCTCCAGAGATGGAGCCTCTTCTGCCAGAGCTTCCTCCTCCTCCATAACTTGAGCTTCCTCCACCTCCATAACTTGAGCTTCCTCCTGAGCTCCCTTCTCCTGCACAGATGGAGCCACCAGTTCCAGAGCTGGAACCCCCATGACCTGAGCTTGCTCCTCCTCCTCCAAATCCTGATGCCCCTCCAGAGCTTCCTCCTCCTCCATAACTTGAGCCTCCTCCTGAGATACCTCCTGATCCAGAGCTTCCGCCTGATCCAGAGATGGAGCCTCTCCTGCCAGAGCTTCCTCCTCCTCCATAACCTGAGCCTCCTCCTGAGATACCTCCTGATCCAGAGCTTCCTCCAGAGATGGAGCCACCACTGCCAGAGCTGGAGCCCCAACCTCCTCCAGAGCTTCCACCTCCTCCATACCCAGAGCCTCCTCCAGAGCTTCCTCCTCCTGATCCAGAGATGGATCCTCTCCTGCCAGAGCTTCCTCCACCACCAGAGCTCAGCCCCCCACCATGGGGACTGCATCTGCCACTGCCAGAGCTGGAGCCCCAACCTCCAGAGCTGGAGCTCCCAAAACCTGAGCCTTCTCCTCCTCCTCCAAATCCTGATCCCCCTCCAGAGCTTCCTCCTCCTCCATAACTTGAGCTTCCTCCTCCGAAACCTCCTGATCCAGAGCTTCCTCCTCCTCCTCCAGAGATGGAGCCTCTCCTGCCAGAGCTTCCTCCTCCAAATCCTGAGCCACCTCCTGATGGAGAGCTGCTTCCAGAGATGGAGCCGCCACTGCCAGAGCTGCTGCCACCACCAGAGCTCAGCCCCCCACCATGGGGACTGCATCTGCCACTGCCAGAGCTGGAGCCCCAACCTCCAGAGCTGGAGCTGCCAAAACCTGAGCCTCCTCCCCCAAAACCCGAGCCACCTCCAGAGCTGCCACCACCGGAGATGGAGCCTCTTCTGCCAGAGCTTCCTCCTCCTCCATAACTTGAGCTTCCTCCACCTCCATAACTTGAGCTTCCTCCTGAGCTCCCTTCTCCTGCACAGATGGAGCCACCAGTTCCAGAGCTGGAACCCCCATGACCTGAGCTTCCTCCTCCTCCTCCAAATCCTGATGCCCCTCCAGAGCTTCCTCCTCCTCCATAAATTGAGCCTCCTCCCGAGATACCTCCTGATCCAGAGCTTCCTCCTCCAGAGATGGAGCCTCTCCTGCCAGAGCTTCCTCCTCCAAATCCTGAGCCACCTCCTGATGGAGAGCTGCTTCCAGAGATGGAGCCACCACTGCCAGAGCTTCCTCCACCACCAGAGCTCAGCCCCCCACCGTGGGGACTGCATCTGCCACTGCCAGAGCTGGAGCCCCAACCTCCAGAGCTGGAGCTGCCGATACCTGAGCCTCCTCCTCCAAACCCTGAGCCACTTCCAGAGCTGCCACCTCCAGAGATGGAGCCTCTTCTGCCAGAGCTTCCTCCTCCTCCATAACTTGAGCTTCCTCCTCCTCCATAACTTGAGCTTCCTCCTGAGCTCCCTTCTCCTGCACAGATGGAGCCACCAGTTCCAGAGCTGGAACCTCCATGACCTGAGCTTGCTCCTCCTCCTCCAAATCCTGATCCCCCTCCAGAGCTTCCTCCTCCTCCATAACTTGAGCCTCCTCCTGAGATACCTCCTGATCCAGAGCTTCTTCCTCCTCCATACCCGGAGCCTCCTCCTGAACTTCCTCCTCCTGATCCAGAGATGGATCCTCTCCTGCCAGAGCTTCCTCCACCACCAGAGCTCAGCCCCCCACCATGGGGACTGCATCTGCCACTGCCAGAGCTGGAGCCCCAACCTCCAGAGCTGGAGCTGCCAAAACCTGAGCCTCCTCCTCCGTATCCTGATCCGCCTCCAGAGCTTCCTCCTCCTCCGTATCCTGAGCCACCTTCTGAGATACCTCCTGATCCAGAGCTGCCTCCACCAATGCAACCGCCACTGCCAGAGCTGGAGCCCCAACCTCCAGAGCTGGAGCTCCCAATACCTGAGCCTCCTCCTCCAAACCCTGAGCCACCTCCAGAGCTGCCACCTCCAGAGATGGAGCCTCTTCTGCCAGAGCTTCCTCCTCCTCCATAACTTGAGCTTGCTCCTGAGATACCTCCTGATCCAGAGCTTCCTCCTGATCCAGAGATGGAGCCTCTTCTTCCAGAGCTTCCTCCTCCTCCATATCCTGAGCCACCTCCTGAGATACCTCCTGATCCAGAGCTACCTCCAGAGATGGAGCCACCACTGCCAGAGCTCGAGCCCAAACCTCCTCCAGAGCTGGATCCTCCATACCCGGAGCCTCCTCCATATCCTGAGCCTTCTCCTCCTCCACCTCCAGAGATGGAGCCTCTTCTGCCTGAGCTTCCTCCTCCTCCATAACTTGAGCTTCCTCCTGAGATACCTCCTGATTCAGAACTTCCTCCTGATCCAGAGATGGATCCTCTCCTGCCAGAGCTTCCTCCACCTCCAGAGCTCAGTCCCCCACCATGGGGACTGCATCTGCCACTGCCGGAGCTGGAGCCCCAACCTCCAGAGCTGGAACCTCCATGACCAGAGCTTCCTCCTCCTCCTCCAAATCCAGATCCCCCTCCATAGCTTCCTCCTCCTCCATAACTTGAGCTTCCTCCTGAGCTTCCTTCTCCTGCACAGATGGAGCCACCTCTTCCAGAGCTGTAACCTCCATGAGCTGAGCTTCCTCCTCCTTCATATCCTGAGCCTCCTCCTGAGATACCTCCTGATCCAGAGCTGCCTCGTCCTCCATATCCTGAGCCTCCTCCAGAACTTCCTCCTCCTGATCCAGAGATGGATCCTCTCCTCCCAGAGCTGCTGCCACCACCAGAGCTCAGCCCCCCACCGTGGGGACTGCATCTGCCACTGCCAGAGCTGGAGCCCCAACCTCCAGAGCTGGAGCTGCCAATACCTGAGCCTCCTCCTCCAAATCCTGATCCCCCTCCAGAGCTTCCTCCTCCTCCATATCCTGAGCCACCTCCTGAGATACCTCCTGATCCAGAGCTTCCTCCAGAGATGGAGCTACCACTGCCAGAGCTGGAGCCCCAACCTCCAGAGCTGGAGCATCCATGACCTGAGCTTCCTCCTCCACAACTGGAGCCTCCTTCTGGGGTACCTCCTTCTCCACAGATGGAGCCACCTCTGCCAGAGCTTCCTCCTCCACACCCTGAGCCACCACCTGAGCTTCCACCTCCAGAGATGCATCCTCCATGACCTGAGCTTCCTCCTGAAATGCCTCGTGATCCATAGCTTCCTCCTCCTCCAGAGATGGAGCCTCCTTTTGAACCTCCTCCTCCACATATGGATCCACCACTTCCAGAGCTTCCTCCTCCATACCCTGAGCCTCCTTTTGAGCCTCCTCCTCCGTATATGGATCCACCACTTCCAGAGCTTCCTCCTCCTCCAGATATGGGGCCTCCTTTTGAGCCTCCTCCTCCTCCATATATGGACCCACCACTTCCAGAGCTTCCTCCTCCTCCAGAGATGGAGCCTCCTTTTGAGCCTCCTCCTCCTCCTCCTCCATATATGGACCCACCACTTCCAGAGCTTCCTCCTCCTCCAGAGATGGAGCCTCCTTTTGAGCCTCCTCCTCCTCCTCCTCCTCCTCCACATATGGACCCACCACTTCCAGAGCTTCCTCCTCCTCCACAGATGGAGCTTCCTTTTGAGCCTCCTCCTCCTCCTCCTCCTCCTCCACATATGGACCCACCACTTCCAGAGCTTCCTCCTCCTCCATACCCTGAACCTCCCTTTGAGCCTCCTCCTCCTCCTCCACTTATAGACCCACCACTTCCAGAGCTTCCTCCTCCTCCACAGATGGAGCCTCCTTTTGAGCCTCCTCCTCCTCCTCCTCCTCCTCCACATATGGACCCACCACTTCCAGAGCTTCCTCCTCCTCCATACCCTGAACCTCCCTTTGAGCCTCCTCCTCCTCCTCCACTTATAGACCCACCACTTCCAGAGCTTCCTCCTCCTCCACAGATGGAGCCTCCTTTTGAGCCTCCTCCTCCTCCTCCTCCACATATGGACCCACCACTTCCAGAGCTTCCTCCTCCTTCATACCCTGAACCTCCCTTTGAGCCTCCTCCTCCTCCTCCACTTATAGACCCACCACTTCCAGAGCTTCCTCCTCCATACCCTGAGCCTCCTTTTGAGCCTCCTCCTCCTCCTCCACATATGGACCCACCACTTCCAGAGCTTCCTCCTCCTCCAGAAATGGAGCCCCCTTTTGAGCCTCCTCCTCCTCCTCCTCCTCCTCCACATATGGACCCACCACTTCCAGAGCTTCCTCCTCCTCCATATATGGAGCCTCCTTTTGAGCCTCCTCCTCCTCCTCCTCCTCCACATATGGACCCACCACTTCCAGAGCTTCCTCCTCCTCCACAGATGGAGCCTCCTTTTGAGCCTCCTCCTCCTCCTCCTCCTCCTCCTCCTCCACATATGGACCCACCACTTCCAGAGCTTCCTCCTCCTCCATATATGGAGCCTCCTTTTGAGCCTCCTCCTCCTCCTCCACATATGGACCCACCACTTCCAGAGCTTCCTCCTCCTCCACATATGGAGCCTCCTTTTGAGCCTCCTCCTCCTCCTCCACATATGGACCCACCACTTCCAGAGCTTCCTCCTCCTCCATACCCTGAACCTCCCTTTGAGCTGCCTCCTCCTCCTCCACTTACAGACCCACCACTTCCAGAGCTTCCTCCTCCTCCAGAGATGGAGCCCCCTTTTGAGCCTCCTCCTCCTCCTCCTCCACATATGGACCCACCACTTCCAGAGCTTCCTCCTCCACAGATGGAGCCTCCTTTTGAGCCTCCTCCTCCTCCACTTATGGACCCACCACTTCCAGAGCTCGGTCCCCATACTCCGGAACTTCCCCCTTTTTCTCCTCCAGGGTTCGACCCCTTGCTCGTGCCCGTGGTGGCACCTCCAGAGCTCACCCCCCCTTTCCCTCTTTTCAAGCCTGAAAATTTGACTCCATAGACTCCAGCAGCACTCGGATTGTGGTCAATGACACCTGCAAGAAATGGAAATGATGTTCTCCTTATTCTTCTTACTCACAACAACCATAAGAACCACTCATGCAAGTGGTTACGTATGCCTGTCCCTGGCAGTGTTCAAGGCCAGGTTGGACTCAGGCTTGGAGCACCCTGCTCCAGTGGAAGGGGTCCCTGCCCATGACAAGGGTTGGAACTGGATGAGCTTTAAGGTCTCTTCCAACCCAAACCATTCCATGATTCTAGGAACACTCAGTGCAGCCCTTCCTTTAGGGAGGTTGGGATATGGGTTCCTCTCTCCTTTAGCTGGCCTCTGTCTTCCACACCTAGTGGGGTTTTTCCTTCACATCTGACATGCAATGAGCACATAGACCTATGGAATAATGACCTCTACAATAAGAGACCCATAGAATAATGAGGAGTTTCTCAATTCCTACAAATCTGGTTGAAATTAGCCATTATGTTCCAAAGTCAGTAGCTCAGGGCTGACATATTCATGCATATACACGCACATTCACACACACAAGAGGATCACACAAGAACACAAGGAAATACTATAGGAGCTAAGCTAGGAACTACAATAGCTTGCTCTGGCGGTAGGTGCTGTATACCACAGACACCAAACAGGTAAAGGTGCCCTTAAAAAGCAAAGCAAAGCCTTGAGGTACTTACAGATGGTGGCAGGAGACCCTTCCTGTATCCTGTGAAGGAAAAGTGACATTGAGACAATGCACCCACTAAACAAGTCAGGGTATGCTCTATCACTGAGCCAATGAACGATAGAGCAAATCATCCTGGAGATCCAAGTGATAGGTCAAAGAGTGGGACCCACTGCTTGGTGCTGGTGCTTCTCTCCAGGATGGATAGCTCCTACCTACCTGGTCTCCTCCTCCTCAAGGAGTGATCGGTACATGGCAATTTCAATATCCAAGGCCAATTTCGCGTTCAGCAGCTCCTGATAATCATGAAGAAGATGAGCGAGGTCGTTGCTGGCCTGCTGCAGGGCGTTTTCCAGCTCCTGGAGCTTCTCCTGGCCATCCCTGACAGCATTGCTCCCGCGCTGCTCAGCGTCTTTGATGCTCTCTTGGAGGCTGGCGTTCTGCAGGGGGCACAAACAGAGTGTTCCCATTTCCCTCCTATGGGATTTTCCAACCCTTCTGGCAGGATTTGGGAATCAAAAGTCCTGCCTCAATGACAGAACCCAGGGTAAATTAACCCAAACTGAATCCCAGTGTAGACAGCCAAAACCTGTATCTGCTCCATTTAGAGGAGAAATCACCCACTCTAGGTTTGCCTTCAAGGGACAGGCTGTGTTATCCTGCACCCAGTCCCCAGGTAGAAGTGAGTTAAGTCCTGCTGGAAAATGTCAGCTTTACCCTTTTCCTTGCAATTTCAATTTCTGGTTGAAGCCTTTGGATCTGCCTGATGAGTTCCTGGATTTCCTTATAACTGGTGCTCAGCTGCTCACGTTGATTCACCCACATGTTCTGCAGGTCCTGGTACTGGTGTGCAGAGAAGAAAACAGACATTTTTGGTTTCTTTTCCATTGAGCAGACTTACCCCCATGTCTTGTCGATGTCCACTCACCCTGCCCCGGTACATGGCATCTACTTCAGCTTTGCTTCTCTGAGCAATTGTCTCGTACTCCTGCCTGACTTCTTCAATGATGCCGTCCATGTTCAGTTCTCTACTGTCATCCATGGACAGAACGACATTGGTGTTGCCAACTACTGTTTGTAGCTGGGACAGCTCCTGAAAGGCAAACAAGATTTGGGATTTTAACAGTGTATATGAGCCTTCCAGGTCGTGTCATGAGGAAAGAAATGGCACCTCCCAGAAGAAACCCACTGGAACTTCCCTATCTGCATCCTCCAGGTCCTATTGTCCCACCACCATTTTCATTTTCAAGTATCTCCTCACCCTTTGTGATGCACCAGACCCCATCTAAGTCACAGATTGAAAAGGACTTTATCGGGTCAAAGACAAAGGTTGTAGTCAAAGGGAAGCTGTGGCTGCCCCATCCCTGGCAGTGCTCAAGACCAGGCTGGACACAGAGGCTTGGAGCAAGCTGCTCTAGTGGAAGGTGTCCCTGCCCGTGGCAGGGGTTGGAGCTGGACAGGCTTTAGGGTCCCTTCCAACACAAACCATCCCATGGTGATCCACTCTCCACAACAAAACGTTCAGGCAAAATTTCTGGGAACCCTACAGAAGACCCGTGTCCTTCAAGTCCTGAGGGCAGTTTTTTAACCTGAGAAGCTTAATACTCACAGCTTCATGCAAGCATCTGAGGAACTCAAGCTCCTGCTTCAGGATTTCCACCCGAATGTCAAATTCCATTTTTCCCATGTAAACGCTGTCCAGTTCCTGTAAAGAAAGCCATTGGCACATTTGCGTTTCTTTGGTCCAAATTCTCCCCTGAAGTGCAGCTCTTGCAAGAGTTGGTGCATTTCTATAAGGCCTTCGTTCCTGGAGCCAAATAACCTTCCACAAACCTCAGCTCTCATTTGAAAAGCAAGTGGAACAAAAGGAAAGGGAGTTTCCTGTACTCATCCTAAAAAGGACTGATTCAGTCTCTAGAGGAGACGATTCCTCTCCAGTCTGGCAGTAAAAATCTGCAGTTTCAATGCCTTTCCCTGGGGTAAAGGTTGGACTTGATGGTCTTAAAGGTCTTTTCCAACCTAGTAGACTCTATGAATCTATGACTTCAGTTAGAGGATAGTTAGAGAAAGTTAAGCAGAGCCCTTGCTTTGGAAAACCTGAGCAATCATCCAGTTACTGCTTTATTTCTGAGGCTTTGATTTAGCTCCTTCACCTTTTTAAGCTCCACAAACTCCTCTTCTTTGGAGGCGCGCTTGTTGATCTCATCCTCGAATCTGAATGGAAAAAGAACAGATTGATTGTTGCCCGTCTCACTTTTTCCATCAGGGGGATCAGAAACCAAAGGGAATCATCCATCAAGGAAAGGTGTCAGCTCTTCATCTAACTGCAGTTTCTGGCACCTGCAAAACTCTGTGCTGAATTAGCCAGCAAGCTGGGGTAGGGCCAGATCGGGTCTAACCCCCCTGTAATTCTGAACTCAGCATCCCATTTCTCAGAGCTGTGGACATGTATTACCCTTGAATGCAGCTAAGCCAGGAGAAGTAATGACTCTTCTCAACTTGACTCCATTGACCCCACTTCTCAGCTCTCTCCCTCCCCAGTGTCCAGGTTGACCACAACCCAACGACTATCAGCAAGAGTCCTGGGTGACCCGTTGCTTGGGGGAGGAATGGCATGGAGGAGGTGGGAAGAGCAGGAAAGACCTACAGGGTCTTTGATTTTCCTCTTCCTGTTCTGGGTCCTACCCTCACCAAATCTGCTCTAGTCCTCCAGCACCGCAGTCCCTTAATGGACCTACTGCAGAGCACTGCTGTAACCTCGTGGAGGTGTGAAGCCAAGCTGTGCCATCCCAGGGCATTGCCATGGCGAATTCCAGCCTGCTTTTCCCCACACTTGTGATTATTCACCTCTTTTTATAATCCTCCACAAACTGAAGCATATTGTAAGCTTCCGGATCCAGCTGCTCCCGCTGGCTCTGGAGCGTTTCCAGCTGCCTCTGCAGGTTGCTGATGTAAGACTGGAAGAAGGAGGTGATGTTTCTGCTCTCTTCTGGTCCGACACTTTGCTGCTGCAGCAGTTCCCATTTGGCGATCAGAGCCTGGTTCTGCCGCTCAAGACACTGGACCTGAAAGGCAAAGGAGAAGAAGCTCTCAGGCACTGCAGGGCACTGGGGGAAACACCAACATCAGCGCTGGTCCCAGTAGAAACCAAATCCAAATTAGAATTTCCAATGCGGTAACATCCAGAGGTTTCATCGGGTGAGACCAACTGTACCAACACTGGTACCAACACAGCTTACAATGAAGGAGGGACACCTTTTGTCCCAGTTTGTTGCAGAAGATGGGTTCGATTTTGCTGCTGCTTCTCAAAGCTGATACTGAAATATTTGCTGGTTTTTCATCTCCTAAATGCACAATATTTAGGGGGATGATTGGGGTGGAGGAAGACTTTGGTTGTTCTTGAACTACCTCAGACACCGAATATATGAGAAGAATTATCTCCCTCTCAGCAGACCACACAGAACCACGCTTTTGTCTTAGAGAAGAAGAAAGAAAGACCTATAGCATGCAGAGCTGATATGCTTAGAGACCAGAGGGGTGGCATCTCTTCAGCTGAGGCACTGAACAGATTTTACCCTGGAAGCTGATTTCCTTTTCAATATGAAAAGAGTCGAAAGTGCTCCTAGTTTCCAGGACTTAAAACTTCTGGGTGCAACCAACACCTTTTCTCTACGTAATACAAGAAGCCCTTAAGTCTTCACATGTAACACACAACACAAGCTTCCATCCTATGCAGAGACACATCACCACCTGACTAAAGGCACAGGTCAGGATTTGAAGGGTGGAAGTGATTTTGTGGCTGTTTTGTTCCTGTACCTATGAGTAGGAATGAAGGAGAAGACCAGACTGCAGAAAGAGGTGAAAGCATTGTAGCAGATAAAGAAAGATGTGGGGGTCACTGGCCTCCTCAAAGAGGCTGAACATCCAAGCAAAAAGCCCATTTGGGTTGAGATTTGGAGAAACACAACACTTTGCTTGGGGAAGATCAATAAGTAAATGAATAAAACCAGAACACATGAAGGATGCTCAAGTCCATCCGCCATCAACAATTCCCAGGCCCCAGAAGATTCCCAGCCATGCAAAACACTTCTCCAGTGAGTCAATGAGTGAGTTCACGTGTTGGTGACATCCCGGTGCTTTGCTGTTGTTCTGCCACCAAAGACAACTCAGAGACACTTATCCCAGGGCTAAATGTGATTCATGTTTATAGCAAGCTATTAAAAACCTCACACCAGTAAGAGGGAATCAAGCCAATGCTGGGGCTTTGAGGGGAGAAGATGCCATTAAACATGCCCTATGACTCACATGGGCAGAGCAAGACCCGTTACAGTTCCCCCTTCCCAGGTAATGGTGCAAGAGAACAGGGACTCACCTTATCGATGAACGATGCAAATTTGTTGTTGAGATCCTTAATCTGCTCTTTCTCATCCAATCTCACTCTCTGGAACTCAGGGTCAACTTGTACATCTATTGCCCTCAACAGGCTGGTGTTGACACGGACCTCCTCAATGCCTCTGCTAACACCAGCCTGCCCCAAACCCTGTCCAGCCCCTCCTTCACCAAAGGTGCTTCCACCAAGCACCTCCCTGCCTGCAACTCTTCCACACGTGCTACCAAGCCGTGCTTCACCCCCTTGAGAGGCTCCCACAAAATACCTTGTTCTACCAAAGCCCCTATCCAGATGTCCCCTACCACCAAACCCCAGGCACATCCCATCTCCTCTTCCTTCTCCTCCGTAGCCTCCGCTGGTAAAAACATTCCTAAAGCCACCAAGGTTGTGGAGACTCCTGCTGCTGTAACCATACCCGTAACCACGGTATCTTCCTTGTCCTCTATTGTCTTCACAATGGCTCACGGTACATGAGCTTCTCCCACCGCCAAGCGTGCCACAGTGAGCAGAAGAAGAACTGAAATTGCCATCCCCAAACTGGGAGAAGCGCCAGCTCATCGTGTTGCCTGCAGAGTGTTAGGAGGAGAGAGCAGCGGGGAAGTGGTAAAACAGGAGGAGAAACGAGAGCAAAGGATCCTCAGCTCCTCTGCCGGGGGTGATGGAAGTTCTCCTTTATATGTTCTGGAGGAGTTCCTCTCCATTCCGTGGTAATTAGCAGGTCTGTTAATGCTGTTGGGTTTGGTTCATCAGGCAGCAATTAAGGCTGCCTGAGGAGAGGTCAGAGTAAACACCACACACTCCAACGGAGATGTTGTGAAATTCCCCAAATCCTGCTTGACTCATGAGCTTTGCTGGGGTGAGATTTCCTTATCTCCTTCACCTGCCCTCCATATTAATTACAGCTCGCACAGTTACCCATGCACATCACATCACCGTGCCTTGTTCTCCTTCACACCTCCCCACCTCTCTTGGCCTCTCATTTCACGAGGACCAGGCCTTGATACTGTCCTCACATTGACGTGGGGGTGGCTGACCTTGCTTCACCGTGTCACCAGAACCTACTACCAGGAGGGAAGATCCCTTAGCTTCCCATTCCCACTTTTCTCTCATTCCCAGTATTTCCACCCAGGAGTAAGGATTGTTCCCGCAGGGAGAGGCTCTTCTTGGTCATGGCGTTGCCTTTGGTCCATAAAGCTGAAATAGTGCCTAGAAAACAAATAAAATGGGATCTCTCTGTATCAATTTTAGCTTTGAATAAATGGATGTAGAGTTTTAAATGGAAACGAGAAAGCTCTGAGAGAAACTTCATCAATTGAATAAATCTTTGAAGTATTAAAGATGAGGTTGCTTTAGGGAGCAAATGACCCATCACTTCCACCCTTCCGCTGTGATTGCTCCTACTCTTCCATGTGGGAATAGATAGACCATGAACTAAACCTGCCTGTTTGTGGAGTGGTTTTTAAAGGCCCTGCTTCTAGAGAGCTGAGATGTCAAATCCAGAGCTGGGCTCCAAGCTTTTCTCCCCAGGTTCTCCCTCTGAGCCTGATCCATCCCTCTTCATCTCTGTGCAGGACTCCAGCTTCCCAGTCTGAGCACGCTCTGGTGCAAAACTCAATGGCCATGGACCCAATGGCCCTTTATGAGCCAAGTCCTGCTGCTGATAACACCACTGAGAGCCTTCAGCTTTGACTAACAGCTCAAGAAGACAACTGAGATCTGGTGCACTGCCTCCAAAACCACTGGTGGAGCAACTTCCACATGGCAAGTGCATCCCCTTTGTCCTCTGCACCACATCAGGAAGAGCTGGAGATGCTCTTCCTGCCAAAGCTGCTGGATAAAGCCACACTGTGAACCCTTCAGTTGCATAAAGGTTATGTGGTCAGGGCCTTGTAACCCTTTCTCTGGGTCCATTTGAGAAGTGCCTCATAAATCCCCTCGATGAAAGGCTTGTGGGGAGCTCTGTTAGGCTGGTTGTTACTGGTCCAGCTGAAATATCTTGAGGTGGACGAGAGTTTGGATGCTCAGTGACCAGAGGAAGGGCTTTTCCCAGAAGCAGGCACTGTGTTTTCCAGACAACCAGATGAGTAGTGCTGTGTTTCCCTCCCAAACTTGGTCTCTTCTAGCCTTACATCTGCAGACCGTCCACTGGTGCTGCTTTCTTGTAATTAAACTTCACTGGTTACCTGCATTTTACTGAGAATTTCAACCAGATTTCCCACTGAATTCCCCCTTTTTTATAGACCTATTGAAAAATCTGACTGGGGTTGAGAATTCTGTGTCCTGCTGAAAAGAGTAATTATGGTGAACACCAAAAATGTCATGTCCGTCACAAAAGTGAGTGGGGGCAAACCTGGGAACAAACCCATTCCAACACATCTGGGTAAGGTTTGCCAGAGCATTGGGATACCACACAAAAACCTTTCCTGTTCTGTTTCAGTTGGGCTCAGTAGTTTCTAGATGATGGTGCCTGTGAAGAAAACACAATGTAAATTGTCCTCCTTCACTCCCATGTTTTGGGTGAGCTGAAAGATTCCTTCAAGAGCTGCATCCACTCTCTGCAATGTCCTGTGCAGGACAAACCGTGTCTGAACAACACTGAGACTCAATCTCCTGTGTGGCCTTGGGGCCATTATTAGGCTCAGGTAAAGATTAGGAGGACAATATATGACTCCATGTCAGGAGGAGGTGAGACTTAGTGAGCCATGATTGTCCTTGATGTCTGAGCTAAATCATCCCTTTTCCTTGCCTTATCAACTCCCCAGCACAAGAGTTTCCCAAGGGTCGCTGTTGGTCACCTCTGAGTTGAGTTTGTATATAACTGCTTTGGGGGCAATTCATCTTCATCCTTCTTCTTCCCAATTTGAGAGGCTCATTCCAATGCGTGCTGAGTCAGGGCAATGCTTCAGATCATCCACACGGATCTTGGAAGGAAGTGTTATGACCTACGGGAGGGAACACCCACAGATCAAACAAGCTAGTTCCATGTGGAACAAGGTTAGATAGACGTCTATCCAAAATCACTGCCCTACACACATACATCAGCTCCCTGCATGAAGCAAACCAGGTGGCAGCTCATGCAGGACCACTGCACTGTGGTGTGAAGGAGCTTGAGAAGGAGCCTGCAAACCCTGCGTGAGAAGAGCAGCCATCCCACCCCACGTGCCACCTAATCCAGAGCACGACGTGTAGGCTGCTGTTGTGATGGTCGCTGGCACCAGCTCAACCCTGGCACAACAAGAGCCACACCTGAACCTGCTGAGCTGGCTCCAGAAACAGCGATGCACCCAGCGAGATGTTCACACATCCTGTGGATGCAGGGGGAGCTTCCTGTGGTACCTTCCTCTTCCCTGCAATGAGCTGGCATTGCTCCTGGATGTGCCTGGGGATCTTCTGCCCTGAGCCTTTAAAAGAAACAGCGAAACAGCCCCCAACATAGAATGAAAAATAAAAATATACAAAATAAAAGTCATGGAATCATGAGACCTCACCTGGAGCATTGGGTGCAGTTCTGGTGTCCTCAGCATAAAAAGGACATGGAACTGTTGGAACAAGTCCAGAGGAGGCCACGAGGATGAGCAGGGACTGGAGCACCTCCTGTATGGAGACAGGCTGAGGAAGTTGGGGCTGTTCAGCCTGGAGCTGCATGGAGACCTCAGAGCAGCTTCCAGTATCTGAAGGGGGCCTATAGGGATGCTGGGGAGGGACTCTTCATTAGGGACTGTAGTGATAGGACAAGGGGTAACGGGTTCAAACTGAAACAGGGGGAGTTTAGATTGGATCTAAGGAGGAAATTCTTTCCTGTGAGGGTGGTGAGGCACTGGAATGGGTTGCCCAGGGAGGTTGGGAATGCTCCATCCCTGGCAGTGTTCAAGGCCAGGTTGGACAGAGCCTTGGGTGACCTGGTTTAGTGTGAGGTGTCCCTGCCCGTGGCAGGGGGTTGGAACTGGATGAGCTTCAGGTGCTTTCCAACCCGAACCATTCCATGATTCTATGAATCCCAGCATCCTTCTTATGCTCCAAATGTCCTTAATGCCCTCCTTGTCTACCTCACTGCTATTTGGAGGCTTTTCCCCTGTACCAAACATTTGTCATTCTCTAACAAATTCATACACTGAGCTTGATCTGTCTTTTACCCCAGAAATGCCTCATAGGAGCAAGATTAATTGTATACATTTTATAACGAGTGTGAGTACTAAAAGAACCGACATTCTTGTCATGGAGATGGGTCATCATGGAATATACCAGTTCATGGAGCAATTCAGGGGCTGCTCAAACACCCACATGGTCAACCTGGCTTTTTGTTGATGTGGGTTTTTAAGATGAATCTAAAAAGCACCCCAACTTTGTCATGTAGATTTGACTGCCTGGGCTCCCTGTGCAGCCGTTGGAGCCAGCACAGAACATCCACGTGTTATTCCACCCATCCAGGACAGTCCATGAGGCAGGTGATGGTGTTCCTCCCATCTGGACAAGCCTCTGAGAGAGGTGATGTAAGTGTGCCCTTTGGGATGCCTCATTTCTCTCTATGGACCATAAGGGAACCTGGAGCTCGCTCAGCTCCTGCCTGTTGGGTGGTGAGGGTAACATGAGTTAATCATCCTCCATCAGACCCATGTCACAGAGAATGTGCCAAGAATGAACGTTTTCAAACCACAAAGACGATTCACAAACAGGCCCGAGCTGTTCTGGAGCACAACTGAAGCCAGAACACAACCCACATCTGTCGGTCAACCCATGTCACACATGGGAATCACAAATCCTAGTGCTTAGGCTGATGCTCGAGGAAATGCCTCCAGATTCCTGCAGGACCATTTTAATCAGATCAGCGGATAAATAAGTGCTGTAATGCACTTATTACTCTTAAACAACTACTGCACACAGTGGGCACAGAGCAGTGTAGTATAGCAGCACATAATAAAGACAGTACTTCAGTTTAATAGCTGTCCAGAGCAAGGAGATAGACTTGACTGTAGTAGCACACACAGGATTGAAATGGCAGCTCTTGATCACTGGTTGCCTAAATACCCGCGTAAGTAGGGCCCTAAGTCACTTAGAAAATGGGATTGGGATCACCCAGAGCACTAATAAAAATGCCTTTCATCCCACAGACTTTCATTTTCTCCCACCTTCCATCCCAGCGACTAACAGCAGCCTTTGTCTGCGGCCAGTGAAGGCAGCCACAGGTTCTGCTCCTTTAACTCTGAGGTTCCCCAGCCTGGAGAGCACCTTGGCTGCAAGAGCACGTTGTACTTATTACAGAGACACTTGGAAGCTGGAACACGATCCCATGGGTGTGATCTGTGGTACACAGAGATCAGATGGAGTTTCCCTCACCTACATCTGGGGGAGACTCAAGGTTGCAATTAGAGCACAGAAATGAAGCCCTATGAGGGCATGTTGAGAGTTACATGAG